TAGCCGAGTTTCCATAACTATTAAAAGATGGATCTATGCTCTAAAGCTACAAATAACATTCATTGACAAAAGTTTATTTTCCGTATCTTTAAAGTATGAGCTCCTCCGTTTGTTTGCCTCCATGTGCATCTGCCAGTTTACCTGCTCTTGTAGAGCAAGATACATAGGCTGAAGCCTGTGCTTGCTTTCAACTAGTAAGCGACAACATACTTCAGTGTGACTCTACGAAGGTGAGAGGAAAGAGATTAAATTTTTGTCCTTGAATATGAAATCCATCCTAATGACTACTCTTACGCAGGCTGACGTCATAATTGTCTATAGTTCAGATTGACTATTATTTCTTCTCATTTAAATTCGTAAAACATCCGAAGCGTTTGACATCTATGAAATAAAGCCTGAATAGTGTGTACGAAGGATGTACTTCTTATCCTTATCTTTACCACGAAATTATACCATTATTATTACTATTATTTTGTTTTATTTCGTTACTGAAAATATTTATGTCTTTAATTGTTCCATAAATCCTAATGATTTTATTTAAAATGCTTTCAGATATCACTTCATTTAACCCCTTATATACCATTAATTATTGTCAAAAAAGTGAATTATTATACTCCATTCACATTATAACTCATTGCTATCTCATTACTTTTATATAAACTTTATTTGCACACGGTCAATCTCTTATTGTTATCGCTTACACTTGATAATCTAGTATCAAAGGCTTTCTAATACACTATCAGGTTAATTCATTGTTCATATATATCTATAATTCTAGAAACGAGAGACCTTCGTTAAATTCAGTGTTTTCATCTTATCATAGCATTAGATTGAAAATATTTCAACTACTCTTTAAAAATAAAGAATAAACAGTGTAGAAGTTAATTTCAATTGAAATATCTAACAATCTGATCTTTATTCATTGACCTGGAAAGTTTATAAATATTACGAAACCTAAAGAATGAAAATCGGATCTTATGTGAGTCATTTAGATGAACAGTTATGTTTATTTAAAACTAGATTAAAATAGTTTTACAATTCTTTCTAGTTCAAATGATTCAATAAATATCACTTAATGTTAGATAATTACTTTTAGAAATCTCCTCTTGACGTCTTACTTGATCTATGTATATTCATTCATTTACAAGTTACCATTATGATTTCATTCCCAGTTTGTTAAATAGTCAAGAAAAAATGTATACATATTTATCTAGTTTGTTGCATAACTATGATTAACCGATATAGTTGAATACTGTAAATACACTAAACAAAAAAGCATATTACCTTAAAATACTTTAGAACTTCATTTCATCTTAAAATCACTTCAGTTTTCAACATTAAAGTATTACTCATAATCTTATCATTTAAACAGTCTGAATTATTTACTCGGTTAACTTAGGACTGTAAGAGATTTTTTACTTGATGAGTTCGAAATAAAGTTAAGTATACACAGTTATACATGTGAACATTAGGATAAACAGATACACACACTATTGAAAGCAACCATAAAACTCTGTAATTGTAATGTAGAATTAAATGCTTTTTTACGATCCAATTTCTAAATTTAATTGTTCATACTGAGAAAACGATTACATAATCATGTCAGTCTTCAAAAACAAAAACATGAAGGAAACACTCGATAAGAAAAAATAAAATTAATTAAATTTTCAAGTCTATGCCTGGTTTTTATTTTTGGTACATTTCGGACCATATAAAGAACAATCAAATGTGATGTATTATAGACTGGTTGGTATTAAAGAAAAAAACTCAGACTACTGTTCTTATGGACAAATTCCATAGAAAAACTAATTCGTAGTGGTATCAATGATTTAATACACTTTCATTTATTTCATATATATATATGTAATGAATAAATGGTTCAGTTGTTGCTAGATTTGTCCAATAGTTTATGTCCATGAAGACCATGCTAATAATTTGTGCATGAGATAATCTGTATATGTAATGGTTTAATGTAATCAACTATAAACTCTGGACCTAGGTTTTGAGCTATTCGACACTCTTCAGCCAGGTGTGTCTATAAGTTTGAGGACTCTGATGCTCCCTAGAGCATTTGATCGCGTTTAGCCCAACTTCACAGTTAAAGAAATTACCACTAAGCTGAAATTGATCTCCTGTAGGACTGAGATGCATTTACAACTAATTAATCACTGGATGGTGAACAATTTCATTTGTGTCAGATTCTTGCTAACGAGTGCCAAATAGCACGAAACCTAGATCTAGGGTTTCCTGTCGACTACATTCAACCACCAACCTACGCTTCAACATAGTGCATGCGATGATGAATCACTTAGGCTGACAGAAAATTGTAATCTAGTCGTTAGAATCCGATCTGCACTAAGAAGCATGTGACACACATGATCAACCCGATGATCAACCAATTGTAAATAATTCATTTAAAATTGATATTGACTACAGTCTATAAGAAGTCATTATTATGATTTCTCTGGCCAGAAAATCACATGGTAAAATAAACGAAAGCTCTGAAAGAGACCATGTCTGTTTATCTTAGATAATCGTGCTTGTAACCGAACTAACTAATCAATAATCTGTAAAAAATTATTGTTGAAGAGAAAGCCATATAGTACTATGGTTTTTGACACGGACTTGAATGATATTTAACGTAACTAATGATGCCTTGTTTTCCTCAACGTTAATTGACCAGTTGAATTCTGTGTGAATTAAACACGAAGTTTATGTCTTTTATGATAGATGTATTCATTTTTTAGATAATTTCATATATAAGCGTAAAGTAAGCCTTTTTGTTTTATTTGTTCCTCTGTACTATCTATACTTATGTTAATTTTAATTCTGTTATTTACTTTCTTTAAAGAAGAAAATTACACTATGTCACAACATATCAGTAATTGAATTTTCTAGTCAGTGAGATATACCATTGTTTTATTATTATAAGTACTTATCCCCCTGATATTCAAGTTATTTGAGATTATGAAGTCAAATGTTAGTAACGATACTTACTTAATTGTCATATTCCATACAAAATATTTCGACGTAGAAATACCTAATCATATTTCCAATGTTTTTCACATATCTATCGATCATTCTTTATTTGTAAGCTGTTGATTTTTGCATCCAAATACAACAATTGTTGAGATGGTGGAGAAGATTTGTAGCTCAGGTGAATGATTTCGATAAAGTTTTGTTCTCTGAGCTGGATGGTTTGGTCGTAAAGCTTTCATCGTTCTTGTAAACGACATCATCAGCACAAACTTCAGATGGAAGTGAAGTGTTCGAATTGTTCTCAGAGAGTAAACTATGATCCACTATTGAATTGTTGATCATTTTATTTTTGTTCGTAAAGTCTTCTTTTTAAGATCGTTGAATACAGTTGTTGATAAATTAATTGGAGTAAATATACTAACAAGAATACAAACATTAAACAGGAAAACAAATTTCTATTATTAATTTACATTTATGGAAAATTTTTTATTTACTATTGTTGGAATCAGGTAAAGTTTAAATTAAACTGGTGTTGTTTAAGACTACAACTGATCAGGCACTTGTTGGCATATATGCATCCTATACAGATTGCCTCGATATTGCCTTAAATCACAATGGGAAGATACAAGCAAACAACATCAAGTAAATTTAAACTTCACCCCATTGTACAAGCATTTAGCTATCAGGACTTAATAGCTAAGTAAATAACACGACAGCGTTCAAATCCCAGAGTGAACATAAACTCTAGGATGCAGGTACATCTAGCTGATGAGTCTCAGATGAAACGAAACATGCGTTGCAGATTCCACTCCTATCTACAATCCCTCTTTCCTTATAAAGCATGTAAAGTTTACTTGAGAAATCAAATAAATTCGAATAAATAATAAAATATTGAACGAAGTGTTTTATTTTTTTTCACTATATATTTCTATGTTTAAATGGTTCAACATAATTTATGTTCGAAATTTAAATATCTTAAATAGTTTTCAATTTTGCGCATGCTCTTGTTCAATGTTCAATTCTAGCAAATGTAAAAAATCTTCAAAAAAGAAATAATAATAATAACATTTTAAATACCGATACAAAATAGTTTTCTTAGTTGATTTCACATTGTTTAACAAATCTTTTCAATATACGTTCTTTTAAAACATAATTATCTTTTAAATAAGGGAAAGTACTATTGAATAAGAAAAATTATATTTTATAAAGTAAGATAAACAGTTCATCCAAAGTTGAATTTTATTTCAATAAAAAAAATAATATTGACTAATGAAAATGACAAAAGTATGAGTATCTATGACAACACAAAATCTTACATAGTAGAGAAGTTGTACCTGGTTTTAAATCATCATATAAAAGCTTACAGGTGTACTTCTATCTGAAGATTTTTCTAATAATGTAGTCTATAAAGATAATGATAGTTATAGGGTTAAGCCATCTAGATCAGAGAGAAAAACTGTACTCAATCTTACAGGTTTTATCCAATATCACTTTCCTTTAAGCTTAATTCCCAATTAAGACATTCAGTACAAGTGAGTAAATATAGTATAGTCACATGACGCTTAATTAGGTTAACATTGTACTATGCTTGAATATTATATTCGTCATTTATTTGCTGTAAATACAAATTTCATTTAAATGTTTACTGAACTATTACTAATATCCTGACTTTTGTATGTTTTACAGAATTTTAAATTAAGATAGATGGTAAATGATTTTCATATGAACATCAGTTGAAATACATTTTCTTGTTCGAGTTCGAGATATTTGATTTCGTAGATGCAAGTCTTAATACTGATTTGTAATTATATTAGAAAATGATTAAAATTAATCTCAGTTGATGATTTCTAATGTTTAAAGTTCTGAGTTTAATTCTATCATCAGTTCCAATACGGTGTAACTTTAAGATCATCGAAATAAGAAGTTGAATGACTTTAACATTTCTATATACACTAGGCAATTGAAAAGTTATTACCTTCATGAAAAATATTATAATAATTCTGTTCCTTTTGTCTTTGTAGGTATTTACATATCAGGTGTTCCACATGTTGATTCTTGTTCTTGGAAAGCACCATGGAATCAAGTAACGAGAGAACAAAAACGATATTTACGCAACCGGTATAGCATTCAGTGTGGCATATGTCAAGTAAGGGGACACATTATATAATAAGTGAATACAGTTTGTGTGCTTTTTTTCATTTTGAGTATTTAGTATGAAAAGATAACAATAGAGCTCTTTACATACAATTGATAAAAAAATGAAAGAAATATAATACGTTTTACTAAATACAGAAATATGGTTGAAATACATTATTGCTAACTCCAAGTCACTAATGTGTTTGTCTATCGTCCAATCTTCAAATCATCCTGTCAGATAGTTCAAATCAATATCAGATAAGAACTTACATCTCATTATTTCAAACCATTCAATTTTAAATAAATAATCATATGGATTAACCCAACACCGTAATAGAGTAAATTCTAAATGTTCAACCTGAAAGCAATATGTAATATGTTATTGTAAACTTAAATTTTATACTAGACAAATGAGCTGAATATCATTTATGAAATCTTAATAAAAATCCTAGATTATTTATGAGAAATTTCCTCACTGAAGCTACTTACTTACTTACACCTGTTACTCCTCGTGAAGGAGCATAGGCCGCTCACCAGCATTCACCATCCAACCCTGTCCTGAACAATCCGTTTCAGCTCTTTCCAGTTGTTATTCATCCTTTTCATATCTGCTGCTATTTCTCGACGCAATGTGTTCTTTAGCCTCCCTCTTTTCCGTTTCCCTTCAGGATTCCAAGTTAGGGCTTGTCTCGTGATGCAGTTCGGTGATTTCCGTAATGTATGTTCTATCCATTTCCATCGTCTTTTCCGAATTTTCTCTTCAGCTGGAAGCCGGTTTGTTCTCTCCCACAAAAGGTTGTTGTCGATGGTATCTGGCCAATGGATGTTGAGTATCTTGCGTAGACAACTATTTATAAATACTTGGACCTTCTTGATGATGGTTGTAGTAGTTCTCCAAGTTTCAGCTCCGTACAGTAGAACTGTCTTGACGTTCGTATTGAAGATTCTCACTTTGATATTGGTTGACAGACAGTTGTTTTGAGTTCTATATGTTCTTCAATTGTAGGAATGAACCTAGTTCACTATAAAATAGTCAATAGGCATTTTTAATGTATCAATAGTCTGATGAGTAATGTTTCTCTTCAAAAACCGAAAGTATTCTTAGATCCAAACTTAATTGCAATTTAAAAAAATCATGATCTTTAGAAACAATTTTCTTTTCATTTCACTAATTACTTCTATTACATAGGCTTTTAAAAAATTGTTGGCCCTCATTACCTGTTATCTCTTTTACTACAATGCTTCCTATTTCACTGCTTAAATTCTGACTTTCAATTACAACTGTTTATCATGAACTAAACAGTGATTTTTTAGTCTAGACCTAATAAAATGAAGATTTTCATGGCATGTTTCTACAATATTTCTGATTAAGAAAAAACCAGTCCACGATGTTGTACATGGTCTTAAGCAATATGGTGTTTCAACACGACTTATGGAACATAACTCAGCTTTATTTACTTTCCTGCAATACTTACAAAGAAAATTTTAAACCATATATCATTTTCATCAAAGACTAAGTAAAGGAGAAACTTATATAGGAAAGACTGAATGCCCTTATCCTGATGTAATTATCATTGATGTGTTCTTTAGTTTGCATAACTACAGATTATTTTATCATGTAACATTTCGACTAATGAATATGCATCTTTATTAAGAATGCTGATCAACAATCAATAACTTCCTAAACTATACTCTTAACTTCTTATGGTTATTTTTACCACTTTTAGAATAGACTTTCTCCTTATACAGTTTTTGTTTCGTGCATTGATGGTGAATCATCGATCGGTACACATGATTTAAGTAACCTCGTAGCCCTACAATCTCACCAAGCAATTTGTCATTTTTGCTTACGATTTGAAGCCTGAGATTAGGGATAAAATTTAAATTCAGTATATGACTAAATTTGAACAATACAATTCATTTTAAAATTACTAGACAATAGTTCAATTCCTTCGAATAATATATCAGGCTAATTTATTTGACAAACCAGTATTGTACAAATGTAGTTGATTGTAAATAAAAAGATATTTGGCATTCGGACGAAAATAGTTTCCCAGTTAGATACTGAAATTTCTTTAAAATTATTCAAAACAAATTATTTATCTTATATTGAATGTAAACATTAAGGACAATTTATTTGTAGAAATATATTTCTGTAGGAATAGCACAGGTTAAGGACAGAAAATGAACATTGTTTAACCTTACACACAAATGTTTAAAGCATGTTTTATTCTGTTACGAAATAACTGATTATTGTTTGTAGGAAAAAAATGACTACAAAAATATGTGAAGAAGACAACACAGGAAAAACATTTATATATATAAACAACAACCATGAGAGTAACTGAAAAATTGACCAGTTGTTTTAAAGCATTCTATTACATTCGTAATACTCTTTCTATCAATTTCTTTCTTGATGGTTCGCTACTTAAAACTATTTTAAGCACACAAAAACAGCACAGCTAAACAATATAGGGAGGATGTAACTTCGCAAATATTGACTGTTAATTCATTGTTACATTGTTTGTTTGAATTTTCTTATTGATGTTTAGAACTGTAATTGATCAGTCTCTTTTTGACATATGTGCATCCTGTACTGATTGCCTTGATATTGCCTTAAATCTTAAATATTATAAGTACATATGGATAGTGGCTATCAGAGGGATCCAGGACGTGCGTCTTGTCCCGTTTAGGATTCGTCAATTGAACGTACCTGCATCACATAATTGATGTTCACTCCGGGTCTAGAAGCCATTTTGAAGTGAACGATACTAAGTTAGAATCTTGGAGTAAGCATCAACTATGGGATGTAGGCATATCCAGCCGATGAGTCCCAAATAGGACGAAACGCGAGTCCTAGATTCCACTGCTAGCCACTATACATCTTTGTGAAAATTGTTAATTCGTGTGTTTTCTAGTTGGTCAAATGAAATATTATTCCACTGAACGAGAACACAAGTAAGGACAACCTTCTGCCACCAGGCATTTCACTTTCGATTGATGATACATACTACTTATATCTGTCGACTTCAGTGACACACACCGTATTATTATTGTGTTTTCGCTTCAAATTTTACATGAAAAGTCAATCTGTGGTGAAAATACCAATTAAATTTCCATGCAAAGGGAGCATATAAAAAAATGAACAAATGAAAAAGAAAACAAATACTCTAATTGATAAATTCAAAAATTTTGATATTTTTGTTAATATTATGGTGTTATGGTTAAATCATTTAGTGGAATGTTTTACTTCACTAACTTATTTAAGCCTCATCTATGAAATATGCCAATTGTTTTTCAGTACATTATGTTGTTGAGCTTGATGATAGCATGTTACGTTAGAAACAGTCATTATTCGACAAGCCATTGTTATTCAAGATCACTTATCAGATAAACCATAACGACTTTACTTTTGAATATCTTACTTAAGATAAAAAGGATTGAAGTATAGAATTACACACGCCAGTAACTTCATATCAAAATTGATTGAATGTATTAGCTGAACATTGAGGACTAAATAGTGTGAAATCAAAACACAAATAATACTTGAACGGACAATTATTTTCAATAATTTCATCATCTGGCTCTACAGTTATAAGTTCATTATTATTGTAATATTTTACAAAGGCCAAGATAAGACATATAATAATACATTTGACAATATTATGTGTTTAAAATGGTGAACTTTTACATCTGTTATGGGATTAATGCTTCAAAATAGTATCATTCGTAATTTGGGAAGGTCATTTAATAAAGGTCAGGATGACTGGTTGTTAGATGTCAGACTATAATCAATAAAATGGTAATACAATAAATCGTATGAACAAAACGTATAGTAGGAAAATTTCGTTTCGTTATTTATATATTAATAATAATGACACCTCTCATATCACACAATAAATACACAACGTTATTTTCATTAATAGTATTATTATTACTGTTATTATTTCCAAATTCCGTATCATACAATTTTGAAGTGTTAATCCCATAACAGATGTAAAAGTTCACCATTTTAAACACAACATAGCTTCTATCTGAAGTTTGTGCTGATGATGTCGTTGGGAAGAAGGGTGAAAGCTCCACGACTGAACCATCCAGCTCAGAGAACAAAACTCCATCAACATAACATTGTTAAATTTATTAATATATGTCTTATCTTGGTCTTTGTAAAATATTACGATAATTATGAACTTATAACTGTAGAGCCAGTTAATGAGGTTATTGAAAACAGTTGTTCGTCCAAATATTCTTTGTTTTTGAATATTCTATGGGGATTTTCAATATAAAATTGCTTACTACCAATTTGTTGAAATATTTCAATCATATACACCAATCAAAACGCTAACAGCTCAATGATACCGTTGCAGACAGCCTTGATAGTGATGGAGGTCAATGTCTTTGAATGTAAATCAGTTCTCTGAGGTTAAGAGTTTCATTTTAACTATTTCGAACCATTTAATTCTAGCTTTGCAATAAATCACTGTATGTTATTATGGTGTTTGTAGCCTATTCGATAAGCCCAAAAGTAAATAGACTTAACCAGATAATTAGATCAAATAGATCATAAAAAGGCGCATTCACCTAGAACATTAAGCCATCAATAAAATAATTATCGTTTAAAGAAAACCTGTTTGTTATACGTAGCTGTATCTTACATCAACCGATTTAAATAAAACTAAACTACATAATAATTTTTCCAGCAAATATTATATGGTTCATGCATATAAGATTACCAATATATTTAAATTATTAAGTGAAGCCAATGTTTCATGGAATGCTATTCCTTTCGCTTCAAACATATCTGTCCATGGACACATGAGCAGAAAAAATACCTTAATGCTGAGTTCAGTAATTTAGCTTTTCATAAATCCATCAAATTACAATGAATTTTCTTATCAGAAGGGGTTTTGTAGAGATTTTAGTAATTTCAGTGGTTGAAATAATAAGTCAATTGAAGCTAGACCAACATGAAATACTTGGAAGCACTGAACGGTCGTTTCTTCCTAGTATGGGACTCCTGATCAGACAATGGTATACGGTGGCGCAATTTCGTGGTTTGGTTGAAGTTAGACATTAACACCATTGGATACCGAGCCAGTGGTCTAATGGTTAAGCGCTCGCGCGCGCGACTGGTAGGTCCTGGGTTCAAATCTGCCGGCGGGCAAGATCGTGGATGCTCTATGCTGAGGAGCCCCATAATAGGACGGAACAGTCATCCAGTGCTTCTAGGTTTTACATGGTGGTCTAGCTTCAATTGACTCATGATTTCAACTATTAAATTACTAAAATCTCCACAGAACCTCCTTTTAATATAAAAACTTGTCATTTAATAAGCAACTTTTTGAAATATGAAACTATTGAAATAACATGATTTCATAAATTAACATCTAAACATTATGGTTATATTCCTTCAACATTGATTTTATTCTCGTTTAATTCTTTTTTTTTTAAATGTTTACCCATAATTTTCTTTTGTTTACTAGTTACAAAGAGTATTATTTGTTGATCCAATATATCACCGTAATCCAAAAACATGTTATTTACCAATTAGTCCAAATTCAAATGAAATGATGTGTAGAGATAAATTTTCATTGTGTCGTTTACAAAGAAGAACTAATCGATGCAATTTTATAAATAATAAATCGTATCGTATATGTGAAACATGGTCAACAAAACATATTTAATCCATCACTTTTTTTTTCTTCTAAAAAACAAAAATATTGTTCATCTTTTTGATTCTCATATTCATTTAACTATTGTATGACAATTCATACTACTAATAATACTACCAGTAATATATGTTGTAAATACAGAACAAAATATACATATATATTTTTTTTTATTTAAAGAAATAGAAGCTTATTAAATAGAATTGCACAGATATCTTTATTTAACTTCATTTATATGATTTATATTCTCATAAATTTTATCCATATTTTCACATTCCATAGAATATAATCTTATACAAAATATTGAAAAAAAATATGTATCATTTACTTTCCTCTCGTATTGTTTTTCTTTTATTAACTATCCCCCATTGCCCTTAGAAACTAGATTTACATATATATATATATATATATATATATATATATATATATATATATATATATATATATATATATATATATATATATATATACAATATCAAATGGTGTTGAACTAAGTTAATATAAGAGAATGTATAAAATGAATTTATTTCTTCGATATGAATGTATGTATGCATGTATGTATGATTTTTACTTATTTACATACATTTCATTGTCTCTTGAATAATCTTTCTATTTGGCGCCTTTCTTCAATTATAATAATAATGACAATAACAGTACCTATTGTTTTTCTTTCTTTTAGATTTAGAAAAAACAAACTTTCTGTACAGAATATTCTGTTTTCTAAAAAAAATTCTTTATTCATAATTTCTATTTAATGTAATAAAACAAAGTAGTTCTGTATAATATAAGCTTATTATTGTTTTATTTAAAATGAAATGATATAAAACTGAATTATTCGTTAATTAATTAAGTGAAATTTCTAGTTTATTATTATTAATCTAACTGAAGTTACTTTGACAAATGTTTTTTTTTCAAAATATATATCTTCATGGTAAACTCAACTTTGCTTGTAGATCTTCCAGAGTTATTGCCGGTCCTAAGCCCGTACAAAGAAGGAGCGGCCTATGCTCCTTCATGAGGAGTAACAGGTGTAAGTAAATAAGTAAGTATGGTAAACTCGTTGAAAGGTAATGAGTACATAGCGGCATTAAGCCCTAACTACACAATCATCAAAGCTGAACACGAGACAATCGGAGAAATAAATGTTCCACATTTAACGCGGAGAAAAATCCAACGTTGGAGAAGGTGGAAAAAATGAATTGAATTAATTAGAATTGATCAGATGGCATGGCTCGGTTATGCAGGTGTGGTCCCTATTGAGTATTATCTTATGTCTTTTATTCATATTAAATATATTGTCCTATCTCTAGCCTAATCTTGTTCTTCAACATATATTGGTGATTGTTACGATACAAATGAGTCAGGGTAGATAATGATGTGACATCCACGTAAGATCTTTTATATTAAGCAGTTACATCATGATAAATCTACAATTTTAGAATCAAGTCTATTATTACAGCAGTAATAATATCATATCGAATATTATACACAATTGTCTAAAAGAAATATGATTAACAAAATTGTAATCTAAAGTGATCAAGTAAGTCGATAATCACCTGAATTATTACTTCAGGAATGAATTATAAGTAACGTTAACATGCATTACACATTCTATTCAGTGATCTCGTTTTGCAAAATCAATAATGCAAAACATAATTTCTGTCATGTTTACGAAAGACATAATCTAAGTTTTTTGGAATACTTAGATGTGGACAATAAAGATTCTACACAAAACTGTTCAAAAAGCCTTTGTGTCCCGTCAAAAACAGTATACTATTGAGCCATTATATCAATATCCACCAGTTTAAATATTTTAATCATGTCGTTTTGTAACACAATATAAAGATCATCCAATGTTTGCCTTCTTTTCAAACATGACGTTTTTGAAATTCAATAATTCATGTATGATCATGATTTGGTTCAGTGCTTTGTTAAAGTTTTATTCTTCCATTAATCTCTGATATATATATATATATATATATATATATATATATATATATATATATATATATATATTCGCACAGATTTTCTCAAATTCAAGCATTTTGAATAATTAACTTTTATTTTAACATTAAAATAATCGTTCGGAACATATCAAATAAACCGGTGATAGATTTTATTTCATTTCTAAGCGTACCCAATCACTATAAATAGTAAACAATTCCTGATAAAACGTGACGCACCCTTCATTATTTAACCGAATATCATACTACTTACCACAAAAGAAACAAAAAGTAAAACCTTTTAAATAAGCAATATAGTGATTGTTTTTCAATTCCGTATATTTCATTCACAACTCATTTGAATTTATACAATTTCATGAATATACAACCTAAAATATACTTAGAAGAATTTCCTCACAACATCTAGTAAGTTAATCAACGCCATGGAAAGAAAACCTATTTAAGATTATTAAAATAACTGGACATTCAAAAATAGTAATATTCAACTATCATTTGGAACTAATCCACCTTCCTAAACTAATATTCTTTTTATGGAACCCCGCTATTATTACGACCTATTTTAACCTAACTATAGACCAGTACATCCAGATTTAGTGTAATAAAATGAAAACCTCAATGTAGATGCGATCTGTATTACTAAACTGGGTTCTAACTGATATTCAAGCTTGAACGTATAGTGAAGGTCTATTCCTCGTAATACATGCTACCATGTGTATAATAGAAGGATGTTCATTGATTGTTACATGTCTAGCTATAACCGAAACTTTTACGATCAAGTTTTTATATTAATATAAAAATGGGGTATTCCTAGAACATAGTTAGCTAAATCTTTGATTATCCGGTAAATTTCATCTTCCAATAATCACTTCGTTCTCACAGATTTCTAGAGTATATCGCTTACTTATGCTGACAGATATAAGTAGTATGTGGTAGCAATCTAAAGTGGAATGACTACTAGCAGAAGATCGAAATGAAGAGAAAAGAAAGGAACTTGAAGAGCAATCAAAACAACAACAGAATTAGCGGATTGGTGAAGTATGTAAAGGATAACGCAAAGAAGTCGTGTAATGATGTATTTAATGTATGATTTTCATATTTCACTAAGCTACTGAGTGATTTTGCCTTGAACAACGCATCAGTTTTCCTCACCGGAGTTCTCGTACATTACAATATTTGTGTGAATAACAGGGATTTCTTCCGAATAAATTTATAGGTCACAAGTAAGTTACTAATTAATGGTGACCTATTACTATACTTTACTAGAGTTTGTCAAATAATAAATAAACATGTTCACCCATTAAAACCACAGTGAAATAGTCTTTGAAAAACAATCAGAAATTTGTATCTTTAGACAAAACGGATATCAAAACTAATAGAAGGGTCAGTGAAACTTATATTTATGGACATGAAATTTGATCTTGACATCTGATGCAGATGTGAAGGCGCGGATCAGCAAAGCAAGAGCAGCATATTTACAACTGAGGAACATCTGGAACTCAAAACAACTGTCAACCAACATCAAGGTCAGGATTTTCAATACAAATGTCAAGACGTTCTACTGCATGGGGCAGAAACCTGGAGAACTACGAAAGCAATCATCCAGAAGATACAGGTGTTTATTGGCAGTTGTCTACGCAAAATACTTCGGATCTGTTGGCCGGACACTACCAGCAACAACCGACTATGGGAGCGAACAAACCAGATCTCAGCGGAGGAAGAAATCAGGAAGAAGCGCTGGAAGTGTATAGAACACACATTGAGGAAAGCACACAACTGCGTCACAAGACAAGCCCTCACATGGAATCCTCAAGGCTGAAGGAGAAGAGGAAGACCAAAGAACACATTACGTCAGGAAATGGAAATAGACATGAGAAAAGTGAACAAGAATTGGATGGAACTAGAAGGCTCAGGATAGAGTGGGTTGGAGAATGCTGGTTGGCGGCCTATGCTCCATTAGGAGTAACAGGCGTAAGTATGTAATATGTTTATTTGTATTTAAGATTTCCAAGAATAATCCAGCACATTTTATACAACTTTTCTAAACAAAATTCTTTAAGTTTTCATTTCCTCTTCTTCAAGTTCAATCAAGCATTTACCTAATTATTACAACATGTTACAATTTATTATTAATATTACTTTTATTATTGTAAGAAGAACTAATGAACGTGAAATACACTGGGTAATTTTTTATTCAGTTTGTTTAATGATTGCATGAATCAATGATTGAATTACACTTTGAATGAAAACAAAACAACAAAACAAACCGTCTACTATCCAGACACCTATTCAAATGATGATTTAATCATTTTAAAGTGTGTATAAAATTCATTTTTATTTTACTTAGTTATAATTACTACTGAAATTTGCCTTTATATGATTCTTATTGTATAAATTAACTAACATAAAATCTAAGTGTTTAACAAGTTGATTTAATCTAGAATTCTAATTGGAATATTAAATACTGATTACTATTAAATTTTTTGTAAAAAAACAAACGAACACTTCTTATTAAACTATTTAAGTAGTATTGCGTTGTAGGTTACTTATGTCCACATAAGTAGTACATAACGGTGGTCAGGCATAGAATATATTTTAGCAAAAGATCGATCAAGAAAGAAGAGAAACGGATCACATTTGGTATGAAAATGCATGAATAATGAAGTCTGAGACAATGGATTGATGTTTACAACAGAAACAGTTAAGTTTAAGACGATGGATTGATATTTTGCAAATTAACTATTTACTATATGGTTCTCAGACTTTATTGAGATGCTCTGTAATGTCGTGTCAAATACATTCAACTGTCCTCACTCGTGCTTTTGTTCACTACAGCATCGTTTGTCCAACATATAAATCAATAAGTATATAAGTATATATTTTTTTTGAATTTTTATTGTATTTGTTAGTTTTTTTTTCCTAACTGATAATCTTTTGTTTCAAACTTTGTTTCTATTTATATGAATAAATAATTTGGAAATTTGTTAATATGTACATCAATGTTTCTCTGTATTGATAGGGTAAACTTAATTGTAGAGTTATGAAGTGGAAAATGTCTGGTGTGCGACGAAGTCTCAGCACGGATACAGAAGGCTCGACTAGCTTTTGCCAACTTACGTCATTTATGGCGTAGGCGAGATATCCGTCTATCAGCTAAAGGACGGGTTTACTGTGCAGCAGTTCGTTCCGTCCTACTTTATGGTAGTTAAACATGGCCGGTAAGAGTAGAGGATATTCGTAGGTTACTAGTA